ACCCCTGCACACCGCGCTGCCCCCTGCACACCGCGCTGACCCCTGCACACCGCGCTGCCCCCTGCACACCGCGCTGACCCCTGCACACCGTGCTGCCCCAGAATTGTTCCCAAAACAAGTACAACAGGCAACAATAACGAATAATAAAGTAACAGCACCATAGACAAACAGTGTCCACATGTACAAGGGATGAACTGGAGGTAGAATGGGGGGCATTAATGTGACAGTGCATTGGTGTGTAATTAGGAGCCTTATTACAGTAAAATCCCGTTATAGTGGACTCGCTTATAACTCGTCTATAATGGACGAGGGCCGCTGGTCCGGGCCGTGCGCCTTTAAGAACATGCAGAAAAGGCATCGGATATAGCAGACTCGCAAATAACGGAATTTCGCTTATAACGGACAAACAGTTTGGTCCCCAGGGCCGCTTTTAGCTGTAGTTCTGTTCGTCTATAACGGGCATAAAGGCTCCGCCTACAAGGCGCGTGGCGTGCCGGTGATATCCAGCGCAGATACGCAGTCGGGATTATTAATAATCACACATCTGTTCAGGTAAAGTTGGATTACTACATGTACAATATAACAATCTATACCACAAGTGTGTCTGCTGGGGTGTGGCATGAGTAAATGGTGTCCTGTAGTTGTGTTCTGGACATACAGCAACTCTGGATATAATGGACTTTGGATGTAACAGACGGTTTGCCAGGTCCCTTGAAGTCCGTTCTAACTAAAAAAAACTGGATAAAAACCCAGCCTGTATCCCGTGGTCTGAGTGCTTGGGGGAGGGAGCATAGTGTCTGTGCAGGGTGACCGAAGTCCTTTATGACGCTCTCCGGCTCTCCGAGGCCGCTTGCGGTGTGTGTGTGTGTCCCGGCCCGCTGTGAGGCGCGTCTCGGTAACGGTCCACAAGATCCTCACCACCCTCTGCGGCGCTGCGCTCAGCATCTCCAAAAACAGGATGTTATATAAGCGGCGAGGATGCATCTGGTGCCTGGTACAGCCGGTGGTTTTGGACCGTCCTCGTACATCTGAGGTTCTGGCGGGTCTCCCCAGCCACCACTGAGGTCTACTGTGACATAGGGAGGCATTCGGGAGCATACATTTTCACTCACAGCTTTTTATACAGCTGCATCTATCCATCTATTTCTCCATCTATCCATCCATCCCCCAGCATCCATGTATATTATCTCAGCTGGGGTCATTGTGCGTCCTGAAGCTTTTCCCATGCAGCATGAGACAAGGCTGGGCTTTACCTTGAATATCATGCCAGTCAGCTCCTTATGTGTCGAAGCTATTTGGTTTTAAAATCTGGCACGACACACTTTTTGGAGATCCCACATCTTTTCCCTACGCCCCAGCAATCTTTAACTGCAGTCCTGCAAGTGCGAGATGAAATCGCCCTTAATTCCAGGGTGTGGACATTCTGTCCAGCAGATGTGCAGAGTGGCAATTTCTGCCTCTGAGAACTCACTCCCCCCATCACGGCGTAAACGCGTCGTGTGTGAGGAGAGCTGGTTAGCAGGAGAGTGGCCTGCTTTTCCGTCGGCACGGAGATGGGACAGCCATCATCGGTGTAAATCTCACTCGAGTGAGTTGGATGACATCACTGCTTGCTGGCACTGCGACCCAGAACACGGAGGCACTGCCAGTCTTTTTTGTACCGAGATCTTGGTGTGGAATTTTCCTCCCCGCTTCCCGAGCTGAACAGGCTTTCCTTACCTTATCCACAGAAACAGTGCATGCTGGGTAATTTTATTTACAGCAGCCCAAATCATGCGACCCAAGAGTGGTTTCAGCAGCAACATCAACATGTAATAAGATTTTTTAAATTGTAACTGAGGCATTTAATTGACCATTAAAATGTAATTACACTGCTTTGCGTTTGTGTGTGTTACTGCCAAAGTCCTGCACCATAAGCTTGTATCAATATTCCTGAAATTATGGTGAAACTTGAGGCTTATGACCTATATTATCGTCTCCCATGTGATGATTATCTGGCTCTGTATCCCACCCCCTCCCGGGTCTCTCTGGTTCTCATGGGTATTTCTCTACTGCTGTTGCAGATGGGGAAATGGGAGAACAACAGCGTGACTCTGAAGTATCCGGTCTGGCCACGCTTCAACTCCTTCGGAGACGCGGAGACGGACGACAACCACCTGAGCATCGTGACCCTGGAAGAGGCGCCGTTCGTCATCGTGGAGAACGTGGAGCGCCTGACGGGGACCTGCATGCGAAACTCGGTTCCGTGTCGCAAGTACATCAAAAAGTGAGCCCCCAGCCCCCAGACTGCTCGTCATGCTAATGCTAAGACATGAGCACATGCAAGCACTACTTCTGACTCTCAAAATTCAGGCCAGGCGATTAAGACAAGGACCCTTAATCGACTTCTCATCGGTGGTTTTTCAGGACACGCTGTTCATTCTTGCTGCCGTCCTTCTCTCCGTATCTGTGCTGAACTCAGCAATCCTGCTACTCGGTGTGATAGGCGAAGCCACGGGCCTTTTCTGCACCACTTATTCCCACACAGGCGAGGCAAGCGGGGAAAAAAAAACAGAATGATCAAATCCCAGGTTAGCTACTCCGAGGGCTATTTGCCGCTCTAAGCCTCACGAACGCGTACGTGCAGGATTTAGAAATGCCTGGAAAGGGATGTTCGGGATGTGACCCACTCGTGCAGTGACAGTGAGAGGTGCCTTCGAGACCCAAACTCTTTCCCAAATGTTCATATATTCCAGGATTTCTCCTTATGTAATGAAGGGGATGTGGTATATGAGTCCCACTGAGAGCAAATTTTCTTCAGGCTGAGAACCTTGACAGCCCCTTTAGATGTGATATGAAGCTGCAGTCTAAGCTTCTCAGGTACCTTCTGCACACAGCTGAAGGCTTGGTCGAAAGCTGAGGACCACAGCCTGGGGTGTATGGTTGCCATTGCGTCTTAGATTCCAAAGTTGTCTTGGAGACCAGCTGGAGATCGATGGCCATGGAAATGGGTTGCCCAGAGGTTATTTGGCCTGAGGGCCTCCTCATATTCGACCCAAACCCATAGGATGAGTGTGAACTCTTACTGGCAGGTGGTCACTCGAATTAGCCGCCTACCAGATGAATGCCAGCCTGCTGATTGACTCCTTTTGCCCATCCTGCTTGTACCAGAACGGGAATGTTTCAGAAAATCAGAGAGAGGCATCTATGTCTCCCGCCTCCCCCCCCCCCCCTCAGCCACCCACCCTGAGCTGAACCAGCTGCTTCGGGGAATGATGCACAGCCCAGCGCAGCCATAAGAAAGAAAATAATCAATCCATGTCACAGTCGCCAGGCTGTAATTTTTATGCTCAGAAACAAAACGGTGTGCATGCGGCCGGCTTCTGAATAGCGGAGCCGACGGCTCCTTATCGATGCGGGAGGTGAGATCGCCTTTGTGATGCCGCTTACTTGCCGCTCCAGCTGATTGGCTGAGCCCTCCGGAATACTTTCACCAACTGCCTCAATGGATTTCCCCACCATGAATCTATCCACTTTATTCACTTCGAGTGCGGGGCTAGCAGCAGCACCGAAACGGAGGTTAAATCTTGTTTTATGGTATAACAAGGCACAATAAAAAGTGAGGACAAGGGTGAGCTTGGGCTGGTGGTGGGCGGAGCATCAGTTAGTTAAAGAGGAGCTCCCAGGTCTCAGTGCCCTCCATGTTCCAGCCACTCACCCTGCTAAAATAACCTCACTGTTTAATGGTGCTTCGTATCTCGCTCTGCGCATCGCTGTCCCCCGTGTGATTGACATGGTGATGCTCTTCTAATGGCTTGCCTTCTCCAAGATCCCCATTTGTCTCCCTGGCCACCCATGGCACATAGAGCTAACTGGTTGTTATAGATGTGTCTTCGATTGATTTGGTATTTAGGCCAATGAGTGCAGTTGGACGAAAGCCACAGACGCCTTTTTGTCCATAGAGGCCAGCCCCGCCAAGGGGAGTCTGAGACGGGGGGAGGCAGATGGAGCACAACCCCCTCGGATGTCAGGGGAATCCGTGTAATGGTCCGGAAATATGCGATGTGAGGGGAGAAGGATCAGTTCGGTGGGGAGTTTGAGCGAGGTGCTTGGAAGTGCTGCTTTGTGTCGCCAGTGAGGTCAGACACCCAGGACGAGTGAAGCATGCTTCATAAAATAAATAAATAATGACCCAGAGGTTCTGGAGTGTGGCGTTTTGTATGATGACGTCATTGACAAAAGTCCAATAAAATCCACCCTCCATTGTTTGGAATCCCTCTCAGCGGCCGTTTCTGGACCTGCCTTTTGGGTCTCCTTCCCTGGGACGTACCGGATATTCCACTTTTATTTGTAATCCCTAAACTGCATTCAGAGTTGGTGTTGCAGTGAAGGCCAGTGCCGTGTTTCACTTCTGTGTATCAGGGAACTATTTCTATATGTGTGGGAATTGCTCCGGGACGAAAGTTCTGGACCCCTTCTGTTATATTTGGGATACATTTCCGAAAGCTCCAGTCACAAAGCAGGGCAAGACTTTCCGCCGCTGGCTCTTTAACAAGGTAATTTGGCCCGGGTTTAAATTTTCTAATGGTGCTAAATTTAGTGATTTTGAGCCGATCCACCCAGTCACATGTGGCGTAGTTTAAAATAGGGGGCATTTTCGTGCCTGAAAGCTTATCGACCAGGAAGGTAAAAAAAAAACAGACCTGTTTTCTTCTGTTGGCCATTTTGTTTTACGTCTACCTTTGCAGAATGATAGATGGCCACCCTCACAGAGCTGTCCCCCCTCCATCTTTCTCAGGGAGGGAGGTGCATTCAGCGTTCTGGCCCTGCTGCATTCTTCCGTGTTGCACAGTGGGACAAATTTAATTATGGGATTAGTGAAGCAGTGCATGCTGGGAAACAGGCTGAGGCACCCACCACAAAGTGATGGTATCACGGGCCTGCATTCAGCCGCTGCTTGCGGGGGGGGGGGGGGGGTGTAGAGTAATTCAAAGCACGAAGATAACCACACCGATGAAACATCTCCACGAATGGCACTCCTCTCTACAGGAAGCTGGGGGGTAGGGGGGTGGCAAGAGATCAGCCCCCATGAGGCACCGGTAGGCATTCCTCAGGGGAAACTCCGCCCAGACTGCTCCTTTAATTCATATATATATATATATATAATAGGAATTAAGTGTGATTTTGAGTGACAGGGGCCCTAAAAATTTGGAACATAACTTGTTTGGGGGACCCTAATATGATATGCTTTTATGGGGCTCCAAATCTCTAGCAACACCCCTGAGAGTGAACAACAGGTTTAGTGGGGGTTATACATATGCTATACTGTATATATATATATATCACACACACACCTGTAAGATGAACGCTACCAAGAGGCAGGTTTTTGTGGTACTGTATCTGGGGCCCCATACAAGAAGTGCCCCCACCCCCATGTGTACTGCAGCTCTGTGGCCCATTGCACCACCCAAAGTTATAAAACTGATTCCAATACCCTGCAACACGATATTGTAATTGTGAATTAGCATATTATTGATTACCTATTTGCTTTGCATATAAAGGTCTTAAAAATCTGTTTTTGACAGCAATAACACGGCGGAGGGAGGAACTAATGTAAAAAAATGCTGCAAGGGCTTCTGCATCGACATCCTGAAGAAGATCGCCAAGCACGTGAAGTTCACCTACGACCTCTATCTGGTGACCAATGGCAAACACGGCAAAAAGATCAATAACGTGTGGAATGGCATGGTGGGAGAGGTGAGCGCCTGTCTGGGGCCGACGGGCACAGCCTCCCGCTCCTTTGTGTGTCCTCTCCTGAAAGTAGGTCAAGGAAGTCAAACGCCGCTTCTAAATTTAGCTTTAACTTTGTATTACGGGAAACTGCAAAACTGAAGCGCTAAATTTAAGGAAACTCACAAAGCTAGCAGAGCTGAAGCACACCTCAGACTCCCAGAAACCTCCTGTACCCTTCCTGCTGACTCTTATCTGTGGCAGGGCAATTAGTGCAATCAAGGTCACCTTGGCTCTATTACCTAATGCTCACGCAGTGTAGAATTCATGCAGAATCAATTAAAAAGATTCCCACACATTCTATACTAGAACAGGTTTTAAAGAAATGATGCCTTTAAATCTTACAATCATTCTGATCTTACAGCTAATTAGTCTACAATTAGTGTAAAACCCCACATCCTTCTGCCCGTCTTAGGTGTCTTTGGATCATTTAGATTTTTTGCCATGTCATTGAACTTTATTAATCCCCGCGTGAACACCTGCGCGGTTTCTGGTTTATGTATATTTTGGAATCATTCATTAAATTGGAGGATTGGCCTGCATGAATTTGGACTAGCAGGTAGACAAGGACTTGTAACCTCAAGATTGAGGATTTAAATCCCCTTTGGGGATCTACAGTTGTACCCGGAAGCGAGGCATTTAAATTGCTGCAGTAGCACAGCCGCTAGTAGCAAGATAATTTCTGTCAGCTGGGTTTATCTGCTGTAGAAATGGGCGCCGGGATTTACCTGGAGTTTTATCCCAAGCTGCTCATGATTTTACACATTTAGGACCTGCATGGGGGTATGACTCACTGTGCCTTTCCCTGCCCTTTCATGGCAACCCCCCCCCCCAACCCCCAACGTCCAGGTGGTGAACAAGAAGGCCGTCATGGCCGTGGGCTCGCTGACGATCAACGAGGAGCGCTCGGAGGTCATCGACTTTTCCGTGCCCTTCGTGGAGACGGGCATCAGCGTCATGGTGTCCCGGAGTAATGGCACCGTCTCCCCGTCCGCCTTCCTGGGTGAGCGGAGGGCGTGACCCCCGCGCAGCCGTCGCTTTTATCAGCCCAAATAACATCGGTACTCCGTGTGTCTTTAGATTGGGGCAGATTCTCATTAAAAGAAAAGTGTATGACAGTGAACAAAGCAGCGCAGCCTTAGTTAGGAATGGCTGTACTCAGAAGCTCACACTTTAATTAACCAAGGGCGATGATTACCGAGGTCTAGCTGGGAAATCCCGCTGGTGGTCCTGTGCCAGCCTCAGCGTTTTAATCCCAGCGGCATTCCCACAATCCCTTTCCGGATCAGGAGTCGCTCATGACATCCCCCCCTCCCCGCCCCCTTTCCGCTTGCAGAGCCCTTCAGTGCCTCTGTGTGGGTGATGATGTTCGTGATGCTGCTGCTGGTGACCGCCATGGCCGTCTTCATGTTCGAGTACATCAGTCCCCTGGGCTTCAACAGGAACCTCGCTCAGGGCAGAGGTAGACCACGGTCCGGCCTCCTGTTTTAACCACCTCTGTCCCGTGCCCAGCTGACAACCTGAGAGAATAACCCCTTAAATCACAAACACTGGAAGCTAACAGGCCCATCTAAGGGATTGCAGATGTTTCTCACCTATAATTGGTGGTACAGCCTGGTCTGGGAATGAACAGATTGCTAGCATTGGGTTCTGGTGCCCTCCTGAAAGTCCCCAGGCCATCTCCAGGCCCTGTGGGGCTGTGTTTGGCTCAGGACAGGTTTATATGGAATGTATGGCAAAAGCCTGAGAAAGGAATCTATTTTTTTTCCTAAAGGAATTTTAAGCACTAAAGAGGTGTTTGGAAAAGCCAGGTTATTAAACAGCCATAAAATGTTCTGAATCAGCAGGAAATTTTTTAGCGAGCCACGTTGACACGGACAAATTAGTTTTCACAGCAGAGATGTCTGTACTTACACATACCGTCGCTATGGTGAAAATGAAAAGGTTTCGTATTTACACATTCGATAATTTACCTAATGGCGCACCGTTGTGATTCATTGCTACAGCCTGGTTGCCAAGCTACGCTGGCGTTTCCACATGTCGGAAGCCGCTTGCGGTGAACTGAATAGATCGAGAACATCAATAGCGGGAGTGCTTAGGGCAGCCATTATTCTGGCCAGATACTATAATCACAGCAAGAAACTTTGCAAATCCTTATTTCAGCAGGTTGCATTTCACCAGAGAATGGAGCATTTTTTATGAATTAGCACGACAGATTTGATGCAGGTTTGCATGAGCACCCTCCTAACCGGACCACTCTCCTGCCCCACCATAGATCCACACGGCCCCTCCTTCACTATGGGCAAGGCGGTTTGGCTCCTCTGGGGCCTCGTCTTCAACAACTCCGTGCCAGTGCAGAACCCCAAAGGAACCACCAGCAAATTCATCGTGTCCGTCTGGGCCTTCTTTGCCGTCATCTTCCTCGCCAGCTACACTGCCAACCTGGCGGCCTTCATGATCCAGGAAGAATTCGTTGACCAGGTCACAGGCCTGAGTGACAAAAAGGTCAGTCGCTGCTAAAGTTCAAGACATAGTTTGACTTCCAGCCAGTAGTTCTGATCCACGGAATACAAATTAAACTTCATAAAAGTTGAGCCGGTTAAGACATGGGAGCACAACTTGTGCCAAGAACGTCAGTCTTGGTCTTGTACAGTCTTGGAACGCACCTTCTGCCCACTGAACCTATCAGCACCTTAGCTGTTTGCCAGAAACAGATCTTGCATAGAAAGTCGGCACTGAAATGAGGCACCTGCTTTGGTCTTTGAAATTCTGGGCAGCGTCATTAAGGGGGCACCATGAAAGCTGATGGCTGTACAGAGATTGATGGAGTAAATCAAATGCTTTAGAGAGGATTCAAGTGGAAAATAACAGGAAGGGGAGGGGTTGTTTGGCTCACAGATCAGTCCTAAAAGGCAGAAGAACTATTCCAAACCGACTACTCCTACTTCACGATAAGTTATGATATGATAACTCCGATGACCATTCAGATAAATGCTTTTAATGTGCCGCTTTATCTGATTTCCTAAAATGATTCAGATGTAAGTTATACGTGTTGGCACAAGCCATAATCTGTTAGTATGCTTTAATTGTCATAAAGACAAAAACTTGAGTCACTTAAACATTTGTTCAGGCAAATTACAGTACGTAGGCCCCGTTTTCTTAGTGCGAGCTGGACATAATTAGGAAGATTGAAGTGAGAGGACAGGCCATGGGGTTCAAGAAATTGTGAATAATTTGTATAATGAGCAAGGCACAGTCAGAGGCTCCTGCATCGAGGTCTCCAGAAGATGTAGTCCATGTATGACAGTGATCCTCTGAGGTGGATAGTTCAGGTCCAGAGAGTAAACATCCAGACCAAGATTTTGTTTTAACCAGCCAGTTGAGTATAAAGAGTCACAGTCATAGAGTACTCAACTGGCTGGTTGAAACAAAATCCTGGTGTGGATTTTTACTCTCTGGCTTATGTGTTTTTGCTATAAAGTGTTTTGAATGGAATGGGAAGGTAAATGCGACTCGCGTAAAATCTGACTTAGGTTAGGGTTTGTGGAGCAGATTACTTACATCAGTCGAGAGCTGCCACTATGACTACAGCCTGAGCTAAGGCTATGACAACATACTGTACCCTGCGTGTGCATCAGCCTGAGCAGGTAACTCACTGAAGTTAGCACCAAATGTTGATGCAGGTAAATAACATTGAGAGTGTAGCGTGTTTACAAAGGGACCTAATGTGTTGTGGCAGGGCTGACGATTCCAATCAAGTCACAGTGCCCTGCTGTCACCGGTGGGGAACATGTGAACATCCATTGTGATGCCTTGTTGCTGTGGGCACAGACTAAGGCTTTCAAGTGAAGAGACGTAGGACCTGGAACTTCTTCCTTTCAGTCAGTTTTGGAGCAGGGAATGGATTTTTGAGGACTTGCCGGTTTATTATTAAGAGTTGTTGGGTGCGGTGGCCTTAGCAACAAGACTGAAAATGGAGTATGACTAATGGAGGAATGTGGCCATACTAATTTAGCTAATGGCTCTGGGTCTCTTCCACAGTTCCAGAGCCCGTATTCATACTCCCCACCGTTCCGCTTTGGGACGGTCCCCAACGGAAGCACTGAAAGAAACATCCGGAAGAACTACCCGGACATGCATCAGTATATGGTGAAATACCACCAAACTGGAGTCCAGGACGCACTGGTCAGCCTCAAGACAGGGTGGGTATCCCGTCATTCTCAGGGTTTCTCGTATATGAGGGGAGTACAGCCTTTGGGGAGAGCAAGATGATCTGCATGATATTCAAAGAAAAGCTGCCAATCAGATTACTTTCCCTAATTTGCATAACTTCCTCTTTGTTCTGATTTGCTGTTGGTATTAGTGTGTTTAGCCTCGTATTCCCAAACTTGAGCTTTGCTCCTGGGGACCCCAAACACCTGGCTGCCACCTGCTTTTGTGTGCTGTGTTTTTTTTCCCGTAAAAAGCCACAATCTTTGGTTTATTTCTTTTTGTTTATTCAGATGTCTATTGTCTTGGACACCCACCCCCATTTACTGAAATCTTGTACTGAAAATGACCCCTAAAATGAGTGGTTCTGGACCTTTTTATGCCCCTCCAGGACCTTAAAGCTTTCTCAAAGGGACTTGCCATATGACCTTTAGTGAGAGACTCCAGAAAAACCATCCATGACATTCATTTCATTGTCAGCTTTTAAAAACGAATGAGGTGTTATACATGTACAATTACAGCCTTACAAATCCGCTTGGTCATTCATGTTCAATCTCATTCTCCAAAAGGGAGATTGAAATTAGATTTGAAGGGTTACAGCTATCAACAGGAGTCCTGTGTGACTGCATCAGGGGGGGGCTACACAAACTCAGGCTGATGCTTGTGTGACATCATGGCTTTTTTCCGTCATTCTCTACTGCAGAGGTGTCAGTGTGTGTCTGTGTGCAGCAAACACGTCACCCTGACCTGTAGCTAGTAGCTCCGTCCCACTGCTGCAGGTTCTCCGTGGTGCTCGGGGGCCGCACTGTGGCTCCCCCCGCTGGCCAATGTCACCCCGAACCTGACATTTGGTCCGTTGGCGACGAATGTCAGGGCTCTATTGGAACACACAGGGCGGTAGTCCATCGGGGCCGTGGGATGCAGAGTCCTTCGGTAACTCCGGTGTCCCAGTTGCACGGGATACTGCGTGGACAAAGTGGGACAAATGTCAACGCTGGGGCAAAGTCAGGTGACAGGCTCATTCAGCCATCCACGTGTAATTACCAAAAATATCAAACAGGCTCCATGGAATCGGCTGCTGTAGCTTTAACTATCACTGTCGCCGCAGGTCGCTTTGATGAATTAGCTCCTACTATGCGAGACAATGCCGTGACAATGGTGATTTCGGTTTACGGATTGTGCATCACTGTCGCGCCCGGTCTACTGGCAGGCAGAAAACCGTGCCGACGACTGCAGCGAAAACGTCCTACGTATCAGTTTGTTTAGAAAAGGTAGAAAAATTTCATTTATATAATGGAGAGCAAAATTCTGGGACAGTTCCTTCACAACAAGCAGCGATGTATGGGATGTGCTCTTTCACTCTCCCACCCACTTTCATGCCGTCTTTTAATGGCAGAAAGGATTTTCTAAGGAGAGAGAAGAGAAAGGCACGAATTGTGCCCGGAAGCCCATAACCTTGAGAACGTGCCTGTCTTTAATGCTGCCGTCTATCGAACTCTACCATTTGCATAATAGTCTGAGCGAGCCTTTAAATTGTGACTCTCTTAACAATAATACGAATATTTTCGCTCTGTCACAAAAGGCCAAGGCCTCACCAATCACCAGGGCTGTTTCACATGCACATCTTTGATCGAGGTGCCTGACAGACGTCATGCGAGAAGCCCAGCTTTGTTTGCCTTCATTTTAGGGTCAGCAAGGAAGATATTTATGTGCAAACTCTGGGTCTAGTCATTCTGTACATTCTTTCAAAGCATTCAGAAGATATAAAAAAAAAGCCAAGACTGACCCATTGACCACTCTGTTATACAAGGACATTAAAGTTTATGTGAAGATACTTTCCTGAATGTGTTATTCACTGCTGAATGTAAAAAAAATATCTACATGACATCAGGCTGAGAAGAGACTTATTAACAACAGTCCGTGACTTGACTGAATAATGGTTCCAGGGCTGTTAGGAGACGAGCTTGGTTTTAAAGGGACCGTCCCCATTTCAGCACATTGAGGGAGCTTCCCAAAGCTGAAGCGACAGCCATCATTTGGTGTGTCCGTTCTGACCGTCGCGTTCATTCTCCAGGGCTCTGGGACCGGTTCTGTACATCACTTTCTCTCCCTGTGCTGACCCCCCCCCCCAGTAAGCTGGATGCCTTCATCTACGACGCCGCGGTGCTAAACTACATGGCCGGCAGGGATGAGGGCTGCAAGCTGGTCACCATTGGCAGCGGCTACATCTTCGCCACCACGGGCTACGGCATCGCCCTGCAGAAGGGCTCCTACTGGAAACGGCAGGTGGACCTGGCCATCTTGGGCATCATTGGAGATGGTACGATCCTGATTGATTGGGTGAGGGCTGAGGTGGGCTAGCTGCTCAGGTCGTGTTTTCCTTCAAGATTTCATGAGAGCTTTTAGTCACCTTAACAACTAGGGTTGTGCAGTTAGTGCTTTTAGGGGTTTCTTTGCATGAAAGCATCAGATAGGGTGCATGGGATTGAATTCTGCCGATGGCACGGAGAGGGAGGTTCACGGTGGTGAATGCAGGCAGGGAGATGGAGCTTTCTTCCATAGGGCTTAGGTGTGAATATTAAAAGGAAACTTTTTAAGCACTTAAATAACCTGTTGAATCGTGAGAAATGCACTTTGCGTCTATGAATATCATTCCATTTCTCTTTTGAAATCTTAGATTCTTTTTTTCTTTTTTTACTGAAAAGTACCCTTAAGACAGAAATACAGTGTAGCAGGTATCTAACGTAGATAGATCATATTTGGAATCCCGTATGTTTTATTTTCTATAGTGTCAAATTAAAAAGTAAAATATATTCGCTAAATTAATATATATATTTATATGCACCACAGCTTTCATGCAAGATGCTTGATTAAAGACACAACTGCTCAGTCAACACTAGAGCCGCCCGTTTCCCATGCCAGTGAACGTCAAACTCCTTTAACTTCCAGGCGAGATGTGCTTCGGTGTATTGCAACCATTTCTTTGAGCTAATGTGCCGTTAGTGTTAATAACAGCAGCGATTATAGCACCCTCAACCAAAACGCTGTGATATGTTCCTAACAGAATGGCTGCGCCGTCCTGAATTCGTAAAGTTTAAAAGATTTGAATCAATCTTTTATAAAATGTTGGATAAATATACATAGTTTTTTGGTGATTTTATGTTAGTCAAAGTTTATGTTTTTTAACAACTGTATAAAGCAATGTAATTTTTTTGTAGAAATTAACTAAGGTGGAACAGTTAAAAAACATACGTTTTCAGGGTTTCCACTCACGCTTTCAGACTCATGCTCACACAAGAAATCTTACAGCAAATCTATATTATTCCATTATAAACCTAAAATCTGCGTTGGGTTAGTTTGTGAACCCTACAGACTATTTCCAATGTAATAAAACTGTTACATACATGTAACTGTGTGTGCATGTGTGTGCAGACTTGTCTCAAATTGAAAATCACACTCCAGCTAGCTGAAAAAAGTTGACAATCCAGTTAATATGTTATGATTTTTTTAAAATTTACATAAAGAGACAGGACACGCTACTCCTTGGAACCTACTAGTTTTGAAAAAAATAATATCGTGATATAGTACTGTCCCAGTCCTAAAAGGGAAAAACACTGTGATGATCATTTTAGGTCATATCGCCCACCCCTAGCCTACATCATGAAGATGGTCCAAGAAAAGTTATTCAGTTCAGGTGTTAGGGTAGCTTTGTGCTTTGAGATATGTTGGGGCCCATCAGAAACAAATCCTCAAATTCAGCTATGGAAGTGTGAAGGTTAAGAAACTGAAACGTTCTAGCTTGGACTCCTGGGAGGTCTGTTTGTTGTGCCTTCAGTGGGGCGTTTGACCTGAATTCTGTCAGTAAAAATGTCTGCTGTATAAAGGGATAACAACTTCAAGCGGAAGCGAGAAATATCCACTGAGCTTCTGTGTGGCAACGTAGCATCTTTTTTTGACATGTGTCATGTCCCACCCAGGTGAGATGGAGGAGTTGGAGGCACAATGGCTGACGGGGATCTGCCACAATGAGAAGAACGAGGTGATGAGTAGCCAGTTGGATGTGGACAACATGGCGGGGGTCTTCTACATGCTGGCTACTGCCATGGGCCTCAGCCTCATCACTTTTATCTGGGAGCACCTGTTCTACTGGAAACTTCGCTACTGCTTCACGGGGGTTTGCACAGGCAAGCCTGGACTACTCTTCTCCATCAGCCGGGTAAGAGCCAGCTTAAATGGGCACAGGTCACTCCTGCATTTTATCCTTCCTTGATTGGCACTTCGTTCTGTTACATTGTCTGTATCCGTTCCTATTGCTTTTCAGGGTATATGGAGCTGCATTCACGGGGTTCATATAGAAATGAAGAAGAAGTCTGCTGATTTAGACTTCAGTCCGCAAGCCAACATGCTGAAGCTTATGAAATCGGCCAAACAGATGACCAATATGACCAATCTGAGTGGCTCCAGGATCAACTCTCCCAAGCGGCCAGCTGAATTTTTGCACCCCAATGTGCCTATGATCATGGACATGGTGTCAGACAAAGGGAATTTCATATATGCAGACAACCGCAGCTACGCCCCCAAGGAGGTAATCTATGGTGAAACGGGTGACCTTCAATCCTACCTGGCTAACCGACACAAGGACCACCTGAACAACTACATTTTCCAAGGACAACACCCTCTGACTCTCAATGAAGCCAACCCCAACACGGTAGAGGTTTCGATGAGTGCCGAGGCAGCACAGCTCAATGCCAAGTCCCGGGGTCTATGGAAGAAGCCCGGGGACACCGTGCGGCAGACCCCGGTCCAGGACACACTGATGCCTGACGCGCGTCTGTCCATGAAGAGCCAGCGCTACCTGCCCGAGGACACTGCCCACTCTGACATTTCTGAATGCTCCAGCCGGGCCGCGTCATACAAGGACCCCGATAACAACCAAAAGCACTTGAAGCCCAAGGACAGCTTAAAAAAAAGATCCGTGACGTCAAAATACCCTAGGGATTGCAGTGAGGTGGAGTTGTCCTACTTAAAAAGCAAGCAGAGCGGCTCGGCTAGAGAAAAGATCTACACCATCGACTCTGACCGGGAGATGAGCCTGCACTCGGATCCTCTACATTACAGGGAGAACAGGTCCATTGTTGACGATTTGGATTACCCTGAAATTTATTCTGACCACAACGACAACTACAGGAAGGCAGAACAGCCCATTATCCACCTCAACAGCAGCCCCCTCCATCACGTTGACCCCAACCTCATCCCTGAGACTTCATACACAAAGCACTACAGCCTGAAGGATAAGAATCTTAGCCCACATGAGACCAATGACCGGTACAAGCAGACGCACTGTCGGAGCTGTCTGTCGAAGGTACCCAATTATTTGGGGCACTATGGAATGAGGTCCCCGTACAACCGCTGTGAGGCCTGCGTACATACAGGCAACTTGTACGACATTAGCGAGGATCAAATACTGCCGGAAACAGTCAACTCTGCTGTTCACCAGAATGACGTGTTTGCTCAATACTGGCCCCAGACAGATGGACCTCACGTGCAGAAGAGGAATAGACTGAGGCTCAGCCGGCAGCATTCCTTTGACAATATTGTCCTTGAGAAGCCCAAGGAGATTGACCTGGGCAGGCCGGCACGAAGCGTCAGCCTAAAGGAGAAGGACAGGCTCCTGGAGGATAGTGCATACATGTTCAACATTAGGCCCGACAAACTTTTTGGGAGCCGGTCAATGCTCTTCAACCACAACCTGGAGGAGAGCAAACGCAGCAAGTCGCTCTACCCAGATCACACCTCAGATAATCCCTTCCTACACTCCCTGCAGGATGACCAGCACCTCGTACACGGGCGGAGCTCCTCAGACATTTACAGACAGCTGGCTCCCATCAGACCGAGGAACGACAACAACCTGAGGTCCTCGATTAAGTCCAACACCTCATACTGCTCCAGGGATGGCCGGATACCCAACGATATGTACTTTCCAGAGCATGCGATGCCTTATGTAGTTAATAAGAGTGCATATTCAGCTCCCCATGTTCTGAATTCTTGCAGCAATAGAGGAGTATATAAAAAAATACCTAGTCTTGAATCAGATGTTTAATGCCCTGTTTATATATAAGCTGTAATGTTAATCCACTTTAGGATGCCATTGTCACCTACACATATAAAAAGTACTCATGTACTGTCTTGGTAAAAATTTTCAGTGTAAGTAAGTTGGCCGTACAGGGCTTGCCAAAGGTTTGAAGCTTTTTTTTTTAATTAGATGTCTTGGTGACATCTTCTGGTCTTGGAACAGATGATTAAATGGACAAGGTATCTGGTATTAACTAGTGTAGATGGGGGCTGCCTGACTGAGTACCTGTAATGTCACAGGTGCGTTGGGTCATATCAATCGACTCCTAATTCCTGTGTTTCCCTAAAGACGATCACTTCCCACTAAAGAGTGTTCCTTGGTGCTGGAGGTCCGTCCTTTCTAAAACACAGTGGCGCAATCTTATCAGACGGTGACACCGTCTAGTCAATGATAGCCAGGAAAAAAATCATGTATCTGCCTTCCTTGTCTTCAGTCAAGATGACATGGGGCAAAAAAACAATTCAGGAGTTGATTATGAACTCTAGGTTTACAGACAGGAACCCAAGGCAAGGAAGAGAATTTGATAAATGGCACTGCAGATATAAAATATAGCAATGTATCTTATATTGCATTACTATATTTGTGGGACTCTACCATTCGAGTCCCGTTTTAGGGTGGTCTAGCACTGAACCTTTTGGTAGCGTATTAGCTGATTTCCCCCACCTCTTTTTTTTCCAAATGAATAATTTGAAACTGCAGTGTGAACTAGTTTATTTTGCATGTATTGTTTTTGGTACCGGTGAAAGAAACAAAGCACGCCTTCGTTTAATGGGTTTAGTCTGGCTGACGCAAGTAAAATGCCTGCGTGATTAATACTTGACCTGCACAACTCGGTAGGTCTCCTCTTAGGACCGACAGCGAGGGATTGCAGCTGAACTTGCTCGGGATGCATTGTTTTGGGAATTCTCCACCTTAAAACAGGGTAACAGCTTTAGCACCATACTCACAGGTGTGCCCGGTCCTGGTGCGGCTAACGAGTGTGCGACATTTCTTACTGACTGTGTTCAATACTTGTGTTTTTCTGGGCTGTGCACTGTGACTCTCTGTAAGAGGGCAATGAACTCCCCCTTTATTGTGGTTAAACGACGAAAGCGTTTGTTGTGGCACGTCAAACCACAGGGAAGCAAATATTGGTGGCATACATATATGACTCCATTTGGACTACGAATGGCAGGATATTTTGGACATAACAGGGCGTCTTGGAGATGTTTATAACCTGACCACTTCTTCCCTTTTTTAGGAACTGAACACCAGTTATAAACCCTCCATCGCTCTTTCTAGCTCAGACTTTTACTTCTAAATAACGAAGATGCACTCTTTGTTAATCATATTGAAGTGATTATTATTTTATTGGGAAACTATACCTCAGGAGACCAATTGTACGGAGGGAGTTTAGTAATGTCGTTAGTAGAGAACAAACACGCCCATTCACTACTCGTGTCAGGTACGATGATCACTGTTTCGTGCTGTGTTCTGTATTTGTTCGTCCATCTAAAGTCTTCCAGTAAGATTACTCTCCTGTGAACAGTTACGGAGGCAAAATAATGGATGGTGATGAATTTTACAGAAAATGTGATTAAACTATTATTAGTTTGATTTCTCATCGATAGATGATTTTGCATATGGGATTAAAAAAATCAATAAAGAAACAAACACACTGTCCACCAATCCAGTAGGGTTTTCGATATGTTACACTTTTAAAGGATTCTTCTGCTACCCATTTTAAACTCTGTTCACTTTGTTTGCAGGAGGTGAAAGTTCAAATGTGTCAATGTTAAAATGTTGCTTGAGGAAGACGATGTTTGAAAAATATGCACATGTAAAATACAAGCTCCGAATATGTATGTATGTATTTACTGCCTTTATTTTCTTTATCCATTATTTTCACTCGCACATCAAGGCCAATCTTTACGGAGACAAAAAAAAATGTACTTTACATTTATAAAAGCATGCAAGCTAAATGTAAGACATTCATTCATTCATTATTTATTTATTTTTAACGATGTCAAGGGCACTGATTATGTGTAAACAGGGTGTGCAAAAAAAAATGGCAATGATGTTGGTATACCGCGATGTGGTGATACTGTTGCCTTGGAAACCAGCAGATCGTCGGCCTTTAAACCCAACCTGTGGTTCAGTGCCCACCTCAGTGGGAAACCTTTATTCCGACGTGTGTTGAGGGTTTGTCTTGTGATGCACCTGCAACTTGACCCTGCTTCTCCCTGATTGGCTGGATGGGATATCAATGGCTACATTTTCCCTCCTCCTAACCCCGCTCAGACTTTTTAAAAATAAGGACAAAATTCTTTTGAGTCTGCTGTCCCTCCAAAGAGATGATTTGTTAGTGGTTCATCTTTACTACTCATTGATTGCTGTAGAAATAGTTTTTTTTTTAATTATTATTATTCTTCAAAGGCGTTAGGACATATTTAAAATATTAGCCGCCTGTAAATCACTTGTAAATGATTATATAAATACATCATTATAAAGACTAAACAATATTTTTTGTGTGAATTCCACAGTTTGTATAGATAGAATTGATTTTCTCTGGAATAAGTAGAGTTAGTTAGACATCATACACAAGATCTTCATTTAATCGTCACTTTAAGTGATTCTCCAGCCTCCACCTGGCAGGCAAATGTGAACCTCAGCCACTGGACTTTAATTAAGCTTGAATTTTTGGACCTCTGGGTGTTTTTTTGGGATTTAGTTTGGGGATGGTGGGGGGGGGGGGGTTGAATTTCCTGTGTAAATACCTTCTTCTTCACTCCAGGTAAGCTTGGATCAAGCATGCCTGATGACTAACTGCTGAAAGAACTTTGTTTCCATCGACTTGAGTTCATCCCCTGTGTTCAATGAGTCACAGTAACGGTGTCTCTCATGGTTTTCATGCTCGTTATCCAAAGTGCCAATGCTTCACTGATCACCATGACAAGCTAATGTAAGGAAATGGCTACCAGTATCGCCACTGTTGCTAATAGACCAGAACCTTCTCTGTTCCTTCGACAGAGATTTGCGAATGATTTGGTCCAATTGCTCCAGATGGGATTGTATACTTGGATGTAGCTGTCTTGTGCTGTATAGGATGGGTATCAATTCCAATAGTAAACAAAAGAATTATTGGAAAATATGGGGGCTGTTATAGCGTTTTCAGGCTAGACTAACTCCATTGACAGTGGACACAGTCATTAGTACAAAGAGTTTATTTTTCTTTTATTTGTCACAATATAGTAACAGATGTGATATTTAGTTTTCATCAGTGCAAATGCAAGATGACGTCAATAAGCAAATAATTAGTTTAGCACATGCAAACAAATTATTAAACACTGATACACATCAGCAATTAGTGCTGCTCTCTGAGATAACAAAACTCCATTTTTAAATAATTTACGTCCTTGTATGAGATGATCGTTTATGTTACTTATTACAGAACATTTCTGAGAACATCAGAAGGGAGGAACCATTGTTCAGTGGAGGTGAATGTTGTACTGGGGAAGAAATTGAGGCTGTACACTCATGTGAAGGATAGGCCACTTCATTATAGAGAGAGCAGGGATTTGTTAGATAATTAACAAAATACTTGGGAACTTTTCATAAATTCTATAAAAAAAATACAAAAGAAACCAATAAAATCTAACACCAGGGCACTGTTCCAATTCTCAGTTTTTGAACATCCCAGCCAAAAGCAATGAATTCCCTTTACACAGGTTACTACCCAACCGCTGCTGCATTAAAATCTAATTTGTTTTCCTCCAAAACAACCACTTTGCTCAGGACTGTTTTCATATAAATAGGGAAAAAAAAGCAAATGACGAACCAATAAAAAGATAGTAGCAAGTCACAGTTTGGAGATCCTGCTTATGAGAGAGCAATTCCCGAAAGCCAAGGGCTGCAAGTCACCTGTCCCCTGGTGGCTGGGGGCCACGTTAACGTTACAGCACCTCCTACAGCTAGTTCTCGTACTAAGGGAGTTTTGGGGATGTCATTTCTGCCCCAAAAGCCGCGGTGAAAGTGGGAGCAAGACGGGTGCAGGATGAAGGCAGGGCCGCCTCAGGGATTTGCTTCCGTAAAAACGCATCAGCCGTGCCTCGCGGTCGCCGCTCTGCTCCTCGACCCCCCCCCCCAAACCTCCATGCAAACGCCAAGCGTCGATTTTACTGCACTACTTCCGTTTCGGTTCTGACTTTCCCCCAATTAGAAAAGCCCGGCACGTGCACAATCGTATCGACGTGTGACTGTTGGAAATCCTGGATTTCACCGGGTTCTTTGTTTACCTTTTCCAAAATTCTCCCTGTCGCTCCAGCTAAGAGATTTGAAGCACGCCGCTGAAGGTAAAAGGACTCGGCGCTTCTGTGGGTGCTTAGTTTTCTGGAGGTACTGTGTTTGGCATAGACCTAACGAGGTCGTTAAGGAGGCCTTTGGCACTTTGATAAAAGAAAAAAAAACACTGATCATGTTAGACAAACTTTTGTTTGAGAAGACATTGCTTCTTTGTTCCTATTAACTAACTACCTTTTCATAGAAATATAGAAATTAGCATTAATCTTGTGTTCTTTTAAATTAGAAATCACTTTACAAAATGATTTGTAGCTGGGGACAGGTGGGAGGGCGGGTAGGTGAGCATGGTAGCTATCACTTAAAGTCATGTACTTTTTGTAATAAAGCATTGTCACTTGTCTGTTTATAAAAATGTCTTTAAAGTCTTTTGTGTGATTTGGGATTCACCAGTTATACATTAACTGACAGCATCTCGGTCTTTTCTCCTAAAATGCATGAGAAAGTACTAATTCTACGGGATGGTTTGATGCGAATCCCCAATTCTCTCTGTTCCAAACTTTTGTAACATGAGTATAGAATGAAACGTTATACTGTGTTTTTATTTTGTATGTGTAGATCATGCCAAGTGAATGGGTTCGGGATGTTTTTTGGGTGAAAATGTACATATGTCACGGAAGGAATTTGCAAAGTAACAAGATGTAAAAAAATGTACATAAGTAAAGGTTTCATTTTTCTAATAAAGGGTTTTTTCTGTCACTTTATATCAATGCTGTATTCTTAGGCAACTGGCTCTATCAATGGCAAAACCTTGGTGGCTGAGCGAGATTCCTGGGAAGACAGGAAAGGGACTGAGAGACGACTGACTGGTGCTGGGGATTTGCACTTGCTGTGACCGCGGGAAGCCCCAGGTGCATTGTGGGGGAATGTAGGAACCCTGTGAGTTTTGACGCCTAGATGTTGCACAACTTAAGGGTATCGGTTCGACAGTCGCTGCCAGCATTAACGCTCCTGGGGAATTTTGTGGGCGGGAGTTCTGTGAGGTGGGCAAAATGCCGTCAAAAAGGAGGTGCAGAATTTCCTCACTCCGCCTGTCCTTACGCCTCCACCTGGATTCGACAGAGGCAAAAGGCAGCCAGTCATTTGCATCTACTTGGATAACTGTGTAGTCTCACTGTATAAATTTGTTGCATCTTTGAAAAACCCCTTGTTTGCTCCTTACGGGCCAAGCTACATGTAATTATTTATTGGGTCTTGGATCTTGCTCATGGAACTGCAGCCTGAAACATACAGTACGTGACACAGAACACTCTGCAAAGCCTTTGACTTAGAACATCATGTGACAGAATCAACTCATGATCTATTTTATTTCATTGTCTGAACAAAACAAGATTAAGGGACAAGTTGCCTAAATTGCATGGGACAGATGTTGCCGCACTGTGTGAATGCATATACAGTACAATACCAGTCAAAAGTCCGGACACACCTGCCTTTAGTGCATTTGTCTCTGTTATTCACCTTATAGTAAGTCCTTGAGAAAATGAAATAATACATATCAAATATTGCAATGACCAAGAGAAGAACCTGGAACACTTCTCCAATAGTCCTGAAGGAGTTTCCACAAGTTCAGTGCACAAGTTGGCTACCTTGCTCTTACTCTTTAACCCAACTCACCCCAAACCAGCTCTACAGGGTTTAGGTCGGGGGATTGTGGGGGCCAGGTCATCTGTCACAGCACTCCATCTCTTTCCCTCTTCACAAGATAATACAAAGCCTTGAGGTACGCTTAAAGTTATTATCTTGTTGAAAAACAAATGATTTGTACTGTATATATACAGTTTCTCCTAGATTATGCGTAGTAATCACAGGTTATTATGACAAAGTTAAATTAGTGCTAACACAGGAGATTGATTCAAGTGCCACTTTTCAGGCACTTAAGCAACATTTTGGAGTACTCAGATATAATCATTATTTAGTTTGCCCTAGGGAGGGGGCTGCTCTCAATTAAACAATGCTGACACTATTAGAACAACTGAATATTTATTTTAGAAAGTAACTATTACATAAGAATGATCCTCTAATTAGTCCTTAGCTGTGGTCCTACCAAGGAATTAAGAAGTTGGGCCTCTATCTGCCCCCTTCTGAACCCATAAAATCCCCCACAACGGTTCAGTCGTCTGGCAAAGGAAGCGGATCATTCCTGAAATATGAATGCTCAACATCCTAGGCATTTGTTCGGCTGTGAGTGGATTAGAGATTCTTTCCCTGGCGCAAAAACTCATAACAATGTCTTCCGAAGGAAGCAAGCCCTCGAGGCAGAGTTGTGAAAAATAGCAGCAAAAAAAATCATTTTAGGCCTCCCCGCCCCACCCCGCCCTGGGGCACCGAAGGTGGAAATGCACAGCGGCAGCGTAATGTGACAGCGGTAGATATCGAGGAGGCATCTGCAAGCGTGGATTTGCAGCTAGCCTGAGTTTGCCCTCAGATAGCAGCTTCGGCGCCCAGTAGGAGAAAATGGATAATTTTACTCTACCCCTCCAAAGCTTATCACAGTCTATCTTCAGTCTGAATCACTTAAAGGGTTGCAATTAATCATGGCGTGCCTTATCTGCACTTTGCAGCATCAAAGCCGTAATTAATTATGTTACATGCTCTCTTTGGACAGCATCATCAGTTGGATTACTCCCAGTAATGGATACACGGTGATAAAAACAAAGAGGCCCGCTGAATAAATGCCTTCTTCGCCATCCTTTGATTCCCGTTGACGTCTTTAGAGGTCCTCTAGTTGTTGGACTCGAGGTGCCCGCCCCTCCCAAACGCCCCACTCACTGTTTTCTTCAAAATATTTTATCGACCAGACAAGAACGGACCATGGCAGTGATGCCAAGAGCAAGCCAATCTCACACCGGTCCTCCCACTTGAGAAACCATTCAGAAGAGCACCCCAGGGGATGGAGGTGTCAATTGGGCCAGCACGTTCGGAACACCGGGGCTTCGTTCAAGGTCCACGAAACAGGGGGAAGATAAAGGTTGACGACAGCCGTTGCCGGGGACAAGTGTTGAAGGTCAACTGCCCATGTGCCAAATGTCACGTCGAGTTGGAGCGAAGCCGTTACGATGGAACGTCTTGATGGCTCTGTGCTTTTTTTTTTTTGTTCCATCAAGTGGGCTCCTATAAGACACCGAACTCCGTATTAAAATCTGAGCGAACAGTTTCTCTAATCATCACTTTGACAGCTGAGCCTGATTGTGGGCTAATTCCTGTACCAGGGAGACAATATGACATGTTAAAAAACCATCGCGTGATGGCGTATGCGTCGTCCCAGCTGATGAATAAATATTAAAAGGCTACATTCACTACCAGATGCTGATCCAGTGCCAGTCACAAATTTTCTGTAGTCCATGAGTAAAAATATTATGTACAATCCAATACAAGTGACAGCGAAATGTTTTATATCTTGCAACAGGGATTTCCTGCTCCTGGTATAATTAAATGAACTATACTGGGCATTTCTCTGGATTAAATGATAGATATGACATATGTTTCTCCATGCCTGCTTCAGGATTAATAATGTAGCAGATGTCTCTCTTTCCTCTTCTCTGAATAAGGGAGAGATTCATAAACTGAGTGCTTTCTCTGGAGGAAGATGCTGAATTTTCAACAGCCTGCACCGCTTTCAAATGGGCAAACAGATTCCCCTCTTTCAGAAGGCTGGCGTTCGCATGCAAATACGCTTGTTGTAAATGGCTTCTATTGAAGGAAGGATGGATAGACCTTAATCATGAGGACTCTACCAGTGAACCGAGCATGGAATTGGTTGTAATGGCTGACACTAGACCTGGTTCTGGGGGTAGTCGGCGGGTCTGTCTTGAGCAACAGGCAGCAGGGTGGTAGAGACCCATCCCAGGTCTGGGTTTGATGATTGATAGGGCAGGAGGCCAGAACATCTTATATGACAAGAAGAGGCAAGCAAGTCTGAGCAAAGATCTTATAGAATGACAGAAGGTTCCCATAAACTTCACTTTGATTATATGTCTAGCGAGACACGAGTCATTTACTTGGTAGAACTGTACCCGGAGCAGCAAATACATATCTTTCATGCATGAAGAGTTGTGATTATGGCTGTATTCCTTACATTTAGAGGTTAGCCAAGGCTATCACCCAAAGCAGTTAAGCTTTCACCCAAAACAGCTGACGACATCATTGAATATCTCCCCGGAGCAATTCAGTACTTCGGTATAGTACAGCAGCAGAGCTCTCCTGGGAGATGAACTGGAAACCTTTGCAAGTCCTTTGCTATTGACGTTACTCGAGCTGAGGGATAAGGAGGCAGAGCTGCACGGCTGCTGGTGTCTGGCACTCTACCTTCAAGAATTGTCCAACAGCCTAAGAAACACTGATTGGCTGATTGATCGACTGATTGACGATTGTTGATCGTTACATCGCTTTGAATATCGCTGCACTTGTGTCCCTCTTCAGCAGCTATGACAAGACATCAAATCATGCAATTAGCAAGTTAGCCGGCTTGTTTATGGGCATCATTTAGCACGTTTGACTGTGATGAATAAGCACCAGCCAGCTTTTGGTGACTCCAGAGCAGTTGCTATTGGAGAATCAGGCCTTGACTGACAGCAGGAATCTGAGCTTCTTCTGAGACCATTAATGCAAACTGGCATGACAACCAGCGCTTGGGTTTCAATATCTCCTTGACTTTTTTCGCTTATCTCCCAAAAACCGAGATTCCTGTCTGGGCAGCCGGGCTTCGGTCAGACTGTAGCATCCTTATCTTCACTCTGTCCCTGGCGGCTTGAGGCACCGCTCCGTATGGAAAAATAAGATGAGGTGAAATAATGCTTTTTTTATTCAACAGAGATGGAACAAAACAGCAGCTTCTCTGATCCTTATCGGCTGAGTCTATTGAGCCAAAAGCCAGGTTACTGTTATCTGGTTATGACCTTTCGGCTCACAGGGTTTGCACGGTTTAACTTGTTTACCTTGAGGATCAAGGTCGTGCTTGTTTAAAATGCTTATCGTTACATTTACATGGAAAGAATCATATAAAAGACATAGTATAGGTGTGTATGGGTAAGAGTTACTTTAACAAAGATAACTGGTGGGTGGCCAGCTCTGTGGGGAGAGTTACGACAAGGTTTCCCTCGCTCTACAACTAATATACAGCATTTAAATTTGTTTGTGGGCCTGATGAAGATCACTCATATGTCTCACACCTGGCCTGTAGGTCTTATGAAGGAGCTCAGAACTGAGGTTTTTGCCAATTTGGCGAATCAGGCCTCTCAGTCTGGGCCACAGTGTTCTGGATTTGTTCTGAGAAGGCTGTCTTTGCTCTGGCAGGGTTCAACTCCCACAGTTTGAAACCATGCAGTCATCAAACTTTGACATTTCCTGCTCTTCCTTAACTGCCCATCGCCATTCTGTGGGGCCACACCGGGCTGTACGGGATACGAATAATAAAATCCGAAGGCCTCGCTTGGATAGAATGAATAAGAGCGTCCTAACCAGACTCCAGCAGCCTGCACGCTCATGAATTTGCCTACATCTGTAAGGGGTGCACTGGGAATTTTTTGGATCAAAAATGAAACTGGAGATCAGGAACGGACTAATAACCCAGAGAGATGCGGTTCTCCGGCTGCTCTGTCCATTCCTACTCCAAGTCCCAGCAGCTCGCTTTGGGATTCTGGGACGGCAAGATTTACTTAATGTTCTTTCAATTGCGTGGGAAAAGTCACTGGCTGGTTTCTCCTTCACCGAGGCCCTAAGACGTTAAGTAACGTGTGACGTTACTTAACACTGGCCTCATGGTATCCAAAGCTCCTTAAGAAGTTTAAACCAGGTAAAGTGCATTACAGGCTAATATCCTTTATCTGTCATAAACCTGTCAGCTTATCAGGACGATTCCCATGTGGGTGCTGAGGCTGGAGTCGCACGATGTCATTTAGAGCTACAGTGGTTCATCTGATCACTACCAGGAGTGTCTTCTTTAGTTAGCACTCAAGAATCATACAGGGAAAGGGTCATCGTGACACACGTTACACCAGGCACAACTTTAGTCAGTGATATTTCAGTTATATACTCCTGAGACCCAAGGAAAAAAAGTGTCCTTCAATTTTAGGTTATTTGTCTTTGGAGGAAATAAGACATCTTACAATTTATTTTTATTTTTAATTTCACAGCATGTTCTCTTTAGCGTACAACAGGAATAAATACATTTCCTTACATCAGTGAAAAGATGCAAAAACAAAATGTCCACTACAATGGACATAAATGAATGGGTGGGGTCTCGGGAGGATAATCTACACTTTTGTTTTACGCTGACATTTGTATGATTTTTATGACTCTTCTGCATAAATTTTCATTATTTAGTGTTGTCTCTTCTGGATTTTATATCATGCTGTATCCATGTGCATCACTTTCTCAGATCATTATACACCACATTGTACCGTGACAAAGACTTAGAATGAGGCAGAAGTAAGGTTTTTAAAATAATCTTCTGAAAGAAATTACTCACTTTAATCGACAAAAAAAAAACAAAGCTATTTACATGCAGGTGTTACAAATAGCAAAATGTGTCTTAGATTTTCTGAATTAAGTCTGATTATGAAAGCGTAAGCCTGTTCTTTCTAATACCAGAAAGTGATTGTACCCCACGGCAAAATGGAGGACTATTGAAAGATTTGAATTCTCCCCCCATCATGAGAAGCTCAGAAACAGAAGCACTTTCAATTAGCTTTCCAGTTAGCTGCCCGAGATATTGGATTCATTTGCAGATATTCTAAAAAGCTGATTTGACATTACCATGTTTCCCCCAATAGCGCTTGTCACTTACTATAGATCAGTGCAATCGATATCCTTGAGGTTCACAAAAATGTGCTTGTGGCTAACAGACACCCATTGTAACGAAGCTCATTACGTCGTGTGACCTTTTTCAAATATGGTTCTCATTAGTTTGATTTTATGGCAAGAAGATATTTATGAAATGACAGTTAATTATACTGGCATATATTCAGCTGTTCATTATACTTCAACTAAAAATCTAAATATGGATTTTTACTGATATTTTGTTACCTGAGAGTTTGAATCCATCTATAGAATTTACATATCATTTAAAAACGTATCACTGTTACATCACAGCACACAAAATGAGCAAGTTTAAATTATAAATGTTGCATGTTTCATCCCTATCATTCTTAAATCAAACGAGAGAAAAGTCTAAAATCACTTGTTAAACTTTCCAAACTCTGCACACCAAAGGCACACAGCACACCAAAGAGACACAGAGGTCACGTGAGAATCATCACACAATATCCCCTATTCTCTCTCTCTCGCTCTACACACACACACACACACACACACACACCAGGTTTGTAATTATATCTTTGTGGGGACTCTTCATTCATTTCTATGGGGAAAACTCTAATCCTAACATGAAGACCTTAACCCCTACCCAGCCCTAACCTTAACCAGAAAGTAACCAAACAAAATATGAGACTTTTGACATTTTTTGTTTTTTTGATTGCACTCACAAATCTTTGTGGGGACCTGAAAAATGGTCCACACAACGTCAACATAGTAGGTTTTTTATCACATTGTGGGGGACATTTGGTCCCCACAATGTAGTATAAACACAATCCACATACCCGCGCGCGCGCACGTCACAGTCAACATCATTAAGCGCGATGCAGTATATGGGTTGCAGCAGATTGCCTAAAGTTTGTCAAATTTATTGCTTGCGAAAATAAGAACCAACGAATCGTGATTAGAAGATATTTCTGCAAGTTTCCGGAAGCTTCTCCGCTGACTGTCACCATTCGTGTCACGGATACAATGGCAATGCGCGCTGAGTCCTTTACTCTGGAACTTCCCTAATTATATCCATATATAAAATATAATTTAAAAAATGATTAGGTGTTAACCGGGATTCTCCAGTGCCGGCATAATTCAGGGAGCTCGGCGGGCGTTTATCTCTTCCTCGCCAGCCCATTGTCAGCACGGCACACTGCGCACTCCACCTCGTCAAGCATTATCCGTACGGTTCCTGCGTCATCGTCCCGCTGAGGGTTTTAAATCGCTCCCTTAAACCCCGTCCATGCAGTAACAGCAAAGGAATAGCAAACTGGCTATGATCCGGTCACCATCAAAAGCTGACTCAGATCCATCAAAAATGAAGAACAATAATTGCAATCACAAGAACCAAGCTGTACGTATACCCTTACCACAAACTGGCGGTTTTTAATTGCAAAGTGTGAAACCGAGCCATACCTGCCCTGCTTACTGACCAAACCGAAAAGTCATCACTATCTGATTGGTCGAAATGCGAAAATATAAATAAATATATGCGAATAAGTATTCTGCGCATGGATTATCTGAAGGAAAAATGGTATATTCTATATATTCTTCATTACTAGTAGTATTGTACATTTAATCGACTGGTGCATTCCCAGTAACTGGAAACTTGAAAATTTCTGAACTCCTATACTTAAGAAATACTATAGAACAAATGAATGGAATGGATTTGTCATGCAAATTTACGCAAACCAATGATAATTCCACTAGCGATGTTAATATAGGGATTCTGACAGATGTGCTGGATAATTTGGAAATTAACACATAGTAAATCATGATGTACAGCATGTGGACAGTATATACGCATCTCTTCAGTGTTAAGTCCAGCGAGCTGGAACCGCACTGTAACTAGTTTGCGATGCGGGTCAGTTCCTGTATGCCAGTGGGAAAGCGCCATCAGAAAGAGACCAGGCAGGCAGGGTTGAAAAATTCACTGTTCGAACAGGTATTATGCTATTTATTATTTATTTTCTTCTTGAAATGTCATTAATTTATTGAGATAATAAGACTTGAACTGTGGCATCATTTATCAAAGTTCCCCCAGAACGAAGACAAAATAGGCTGATCTTGGGCATAAAACTCTCGTGCTGAAAATTAGTTCCACTCTATTCCTGATCACTGGCATTCTATTAAAACTTTACCTTATTTTTGACTATAAAACTAAAAAAAAAGTGATTTGAAAGTGCTCTCCTTTTTATGAGCACTGCATGTAAATATGCCCTCTTGATACGTGAGTTTGAATCCTCTCTTATTTTAACATTTGCTGTGCGTGCATACTAATAGCTGACAGCTTGACACAAATACAACCAGTGCAACCCATCTTCCAGCTGCCGAGCCTGGATAGGTTTATCCGGGCTTTGCTGCAGTGTGGGTCGGAAACCCGGAACTAGCTAAGAGATGCGGATTAAACTAACTTTGTGTGTTTGGATTGCAGGAGGAAGCCAAAGCACCCAGGAAAAGCCTGCACAACATGGAGAGAACATGGAAACTCCACATGTGCAGACGAGGGGTTGCATCCTCCGACGCTGGGGATGTCAGACATCACTGATACCGCCTGAGCCACCGTGTTGCCCAGGTGATGACATTTGACGAATAAAGTCTGCTGTTACCTTCATGTTTTAAAAATAATTTGATACTCTCCCACACCTGCCTGTTGGTTTAATACAAGGACATGGGATCCTACTGTCCACCACGGAGACAGAGACAAGCTACTGCCGTTTCCTCAGTCCTGTGTGGAAAACGATGTGATGATTTTCGAAGGATAACTGACACCAGAGTTGATGATGGAGGGCATTCATTCCCCATTCTGCTTATGCGTGAGTAACGTGTAAGTCGTGTGGAGATTCTGAAGATTATAAAAATGTGTTACACATTCCTCACTGCATGACATCCCTCTACTATATGAGCAAAATACTTCAGATTGTGCATCCAATTCTATCAATTATGGGTATTCAGTGTATCAGTAGGTGAGAAATGTAAAATTGATTTTCGTGAAATGCTAAAAGGTGCTGCGGGACCTAACCTCTCTTACATGTAACGATTCCTGTCTTGTTTTGCATAGGTGCTGCTTCCAGAGGAAGATTGTAGTTGTAGTCGTATAACCAGAGGAGAATTCGAAACCTCCTTGAAGTGCTTGCAATGATAAAAGTTCAGCCCGCAGCTGTTTAGTTTATTATTTTTGGTTAGTAATAGAGTATGTAAATGAGTCGGCTCTTTGCCCCTAATGGTAATGTAATTTGCTGCATGACAGAGTACCCTCACAAAGTCAAAGCTCTGCCCAGCTAGCGAGTCAGCTTGTCAGCAAGGATGTGTTACTCTGCCTGCGTGAGTTTGCGTTCCCACGTCCGTTTGTTGATAAGTGCGCACTCTGCTCTGTGACTTTGTGTACGAGGGCTCCTGTGGTTAGGCGCATCTCTTTACAGAAGAACAGTGAAGTTAACGGGATGACGGTCCACCTCTTGGAGACACGCTGTCTATCCGCGGTGATCATGAGTCTGTCAGTGTGCCTTTCGGCCTGTTTGTGAAGCCGAGGGTGAACGGGAAGTCTTTTTGACAGCACAATGGCTGGCTTTTTTCGAAAGGTTCTTCGCAATACAGACTGGAGTTTAATCCGTGCCTGTCCTCTAGAGAGTAAGTAAAGCCTGTGGTGGAAATACTGCTACTGCAAATGAAGAAGGAGAGCTTATAGACAAAATGTGTTTTAAAAATGGTCTATTCTAAACTGAGTTATTGTTTAGAATTTCATTGACCTCTACATTCTGCTATTTGTGATGCTTAACCCTTGAAATTAAATTTCAGATGGTAAGAACAATTGCCACATGTCTGTCGTAAATTATCGCATTTATAAAACCACTCTCTGGGTTTGTGGTCTATGTCGATCCATCAGTTTCACTCCAAAATGCAGCTTTTCAGACTGGCTGCCCAGATATTTAACTCTATGACTAAAACGACGAAGTCAACAAACAAGCTCGTTTTGACATAATTGCCACGGACGGCGAAATATGTTAGGAATAATGAAGGACGGGCGAGTTGCCATGTACGCTTCTCCATGGAAACCCGAGGAGAGAGCAGGTCCAGGTCTCGGCAACGTCCATCTGCTTGTCACAACATCGGCCGCAACAGATGGACAGCGCTGTGAGTGGCGCGTTGACCTACGACGGACATGCAGCTACATCAGGCACAGGTGCCGCACGGAGACATGGGTGCAGGATTGTATGCAATGCCATACTCCTGCCGCTGCAGTTCCGCGTATTTCAGTAGTAAAGTTCACCCGGAGCTGTCTTGACATCACAATGTTCCCATGGGCCACCCTGACCTGGTCTCTGAAGATGTCATCTCTATTATCGCTAATAACGGAAACAACCAGCAGTGCGACCGAAGCTAGGGGTCCATGCTCTATATCTATATCTATATCTATATCTATATCCATGATCATTAACCAATAAGTGTCCAGCTTTCGCTACTCGTATAAACATCCCTTAAATCCAGGAGAGGGTTTGTTGTTTCTGGGGCCCCCACTCAAAAAGTCCCGCCCCCACCAATGTAGTGACTGTTTGTGGTTAATAGTGGGCCACCAAATGCGTGGCAAACACCACTGCTGCCTAAACATTCCTTACCTAAATCCTAAATCCTGACTTGAGACCAAGCCCCCTACCAATAACCTCGTCTCCTTGACAGTGAAGTCCTTTTTTGTTTGAAGATTAAGATGAATTCCACTATAAAAATGACATTTCAGAAAACCCGAAAGTACCCATTTGTCCTCGTCGATCCCGACCCAAACAGGGCACTTTGCCGGCTATTGCACAGCCCCCCGGCACAGCAAGCGCCATTCCATCCACTTTGGTGGCTCTGTGGCTACGGCTTTGTGTCAGCAATCAGAAGGCTGCAGGTTTGAATCCCATGAATACCGGGAGCGACCCTACTCGTTTAAGCCATTGAGCAAGCCCCTTAACCTGCAGTTGCTTCCTCCTGGGTATGACGTTAATCTACATCCAGCCCGGTAAGGAGGTCCTCCAACTTACAGGGAATAGCTTGGGGGTTGGTGGCAGGATTGGCACTCCAGCCACTGGAAAAAAACTCGCACTGTTCCATCCAGACTAGTGTGGTGCTGAGGTATCACCCGCCACATGGATGCACTCAGGCTCTCATCCCTGAGGTGGTTTGTCAGGTGGTGGGTGCGGCAACGTGCTGTCATCAGCACAATGCTCCTTATCTACCTACCTATCTTACCCGTCCTCCCCCCTTTAAATGGGTAAACTTCCTCCAGGGGGCGCCGTCGCACATCCAGGCCTCGTTTCCTCATCAGTGGTTATGCCGTTACCTTCAATCCTGGCAGAAGAAATGGCTGATGTTGGTGCATGGGTGGGTGATTCTTTTTATTTTTTCCGAAATATAATGTGTCATCCATAATCGAACAACAGAGTTATGCCCACAGAGAATGCAATAAAAGTGTGCAGTATACTTGAAACAACAGAACAATGTATTCATTTTTAATTTTCATCTTTATTCAAGGCTGTGTAACATACTTCAAAGTATACATTAATGGCAGGTAGATAAAAAATGGTCATAATATTAATATTCAGTGTGTATTTTACTCTTTTTATATTAACCTCCGTCTGGACGTGTGTGTGTGTGTGCGTGCGTGCGTGTGTGTGCATGTTTGTGTACAGCTGTCTGGCTGTTTTTTCCATCATGTCTGCACTGTCAAAATCCACATCCCAGCAAGCTTGTTCCCTTTTTTCTCCCTTCCACATCCTCTCCGAACGGGGTGGCATTCGCTCGTCTCAAGATGGGGCACAACAAAACACTTTTTTTCCCCCCTCAGGTCCTCTCATCCTGCTCCCTCCCTTAAAAGAGGCTCTTTACCCCACCGCGGAGATATCTGACTACAGCAAGGCAGGGCGGTCTATCCGTGCTGAGGGCTGTCAGGCTTTGTTCGCTGCACTTCGTGGAAATGTCAGATGACTGTTGCGTAAGCCACACAGACTCAGAGAAAAAAATTTTTTTTAAATACCTGAAAGGTGATAAAGGTTTTTTCAGTGTGAGAGTTTTGCCCTTGCCATGTACCTGGGACACTGGGCCAACAGTCATCTATGTTCTTTGTTAAAACAAAGCTACTAAAATCAGAAAGGTTCAGCAGACAGCCAGACTCATCCACAAAAATGCCTTTTGTTCAGCTGGTCTAGGAGCTGCTGAGCTTACGGGAAGAGATAGTAATTAGTTTTATGGAAAAAAAAAATTGTCTTTCATATACCACTGATGTAATCATAATTGTGGCACATTTTAAAAAACGATAATATTGCGCAGTTGTTTTGCTTTTGAAATGCTGACATGCAGCGAGAGGCTACAGCAGCTGAAGTGAATGCATTAAATTTTCACGTATGAATTGTTTTTTCCCCTGGGGAGGATATCTGTTTTGACAGCGAATCATGGAAGGAAGACATCTGTGAGCTGGAGTCGGCCAGCAGAGGGGATGGAGAATTGGCCACACAGTGAGTCATAGCAATAAGTCCCCCTCGAGTCACTGCGCTAGGACTCATGTCCAGCTCTTTCACGAAAGATGGGATTTCCTTCTTAATATAGAGAACAGCACAGCGTGGGACATCGGGTTGGGTTGTGGGAAGGTCTAGGGGACGGTTTAACGTTAAGATGAATGTATACGCAAGTATCCCGTTATATCTGCCACATATTAAAGCGGTGACCATAGGAGATCACATCCAGCTCTATTTGCCCAAGACATTCGCTCCAGAGCCAGCGCACCTGTGATGTTTCAGCACAGAGTCATGCTCCTTGGGGAATACGGCAGGAAGATTTCAATGTGAAAACCTAACAGGAGCCCTATTTAATGCGAATGCCACCTGCGAGGTTGCTAGACTCCTGCCTAGATGGGAGAGACATATCCCATGTGACCGTATGATGTCTCGTTATAAGTTATAAGGACGTTTTCTGTCTGTCATTATGAAGACTCTCACACGTCATTTAAAAGGCTCTCACTCGTGTCATTATGAGGATGTCTCCTGTCTGTCATTTTGAAAACTCTCACATGTGCCATTATGAAGATGTCTCAAATGTGTCCTTACGAGGATGTCTCCTGTATACCATTATAAAGACACTCCTGCCTGTCATTATGGAAACTCTTGTATCATTGTATCAATATGCATCATTGTGACTTTCAAACGTGACATTATAGAAACTCACATGCGGCTCTATGAAGACTGTCAGACATGACATTATGTAAACGCTCACATGTGACTATGAAGACTGTCAGACATGACATTACGGAAATGCTCATACGTGACTTTATGAAGACTGTCAGACATGACATTACGTAAACGCTCACACGTGACTATGTAGACTGTCAGACATGACATTACGGAAACGCTCACACGTGACTCTATGAAGACTGTCAGACATGACATTACGGAAACGCTCATACGTGACTATGAAGACTGTCAGACATGACATTACGGAAATGCTCACACGTGACTCTATGAAGACTCTCGCTCGTGTCGATTTTTGGAACTCTCTCTTTTCTAGTCATTCACATCTTTACACACAAACATGTCTTTGTCCCTTGATTATCGTCCATGTGCTCCCTAGGAGATGATTAACGGACATGGAGCGGAACAAAACGGCCACAGCATAGCTGCATTCCTCGGGTTATCAGGAAATTAATAAACAGACAACAAGCCGCCCCAGGGGCCTGCAGGTGCCGCGGGAATGCTATGGTCAGCCGGCAGATTGATGTGAACGCTGAAGAAACATGACTCTATCACCGTCTCACTGAGGGAAGATGCCAAAAACCCACACTGGCGGTGAGAAGACGTGCATATATGTGTGTGTGTGTGTGTGTGTGTGGATATGTGTGTATGTTTGTATGTGTGAAATCTGAATGGTTATTGATCAGGTAACTAAAGATCTGAGCACTTTTCAGATCTGAACTCATTTAAAACCTAAGAAAATTTTAAACCTAAGGACATTTCAAACCTGATCATATTTTGGGCCTGACCACATTTCAGACCTCATCCTGAACATATCGGACTTGAATGTATTCAATTTCCTTGAGCATTAATAAGAATGATCAGACCCGCCTCCCTGATCATCAAAACCTCAGGTGTGCATCTAGGAGGAGAAAACCTTCAGGAGATGCTTAGCAGTTCTGCACCAGGGACAGTTCTGGTTGGCCTTGGTCTGCCTCTTTGTTAATCAGCCACCCAGGTGTCAAGAAGAGGAGAGAAGTATCTCTGTGTTTGTGTGCAGATGATGTCTGATAGGCTGTAGCCATGGATTTATTCGTGAGAGAACAAGAGGGCGAAGTAGAAAACGACATGTATGGATTCAAGAAAATATTCTATTAATCTTCCCCAACCTGTATGACATTTGCCCTAAATATCATATTGATCTTGAACTATTTTAAGTACATAAGGCTTGAATTGCATTCAGGCATTCAGATGGTGCTGATTGGTCGATCTGTCTGCTGTGACGGAAAGTGGCAACAGCAGATCAATGACTGCTGAAGAGCAATATTCTCCCTAGTCTGTGTACAAAAAGTCAATTATGATGACTAAGAATGGAAAGACAGTCCCATTTGACTCTCAGAACATTTTGGGGTTCTTCCACCTGGTAGGTAGATGCCTGTGGCCCCTACTTATCTCTGAGTGAGATGCTCTGCTTCCATGCTAACAGGACAGTGTATAAAAAACAAAGTAGCAGATCA